GGGCGTGGTGCGTTAGGAACGAAATGGTCGCGTCGCGGTGAAAGGGACGTCGCGCGCGAAGGAATGTAGCAGGATGCAACAGTAGTAAGAAATACAAGAACAAAAGTACTAATAGTAGAATTATGCATAAAATAATGATCACATATCGATTGAGCTGTATGAAGAACGCTAGAGCTGTAATAACGGCGAATGAGTGGTCCGCGACAGCCGCGAGCGGCAAATCGATTACCCAAAATCGTTCCTAACGCCCGTCTCCCAATGGCCGGGCAAGTTGATGTGCACCCACGAGTTGAGCAAGTGTAATGATTGCTTCTAGATGGATTATTGCTAAGTAACGAAATTCACATTAACCCTTCAAATCAGCTTCTGCATGTAGATCGCTATATAAGAAAGATTTATGCATTTACCACTTTTTTTACAGTGAAAGCTGGCAGTGTCCAGGGATCACTGATATCTACTATTACACAGCGGAAGATCCTACCGTCAGAAGGAGACCCGATGGTGAGCATACTATCTCAATAAGCAGCTTTGTAAGGAGATCATCTTCATGCCATTCCAGATGATTATGTTCTATGCTTCCAACCACCGAACAACTTCTGGTATCTGTCGGATGAAACGACGCGAATCGTAGCAGTCTCATGCGAAAGCGAGGTGTAAAATGTTCTCAATTAGAGAACAACGAAGTTTCTGAAACAGAAAATCGATTGGTTCGTCCGCCACGCGCCAACGCGACAAGCTGCCAATCGATTTCTGCTACTGCTGACGCCCGGCGAATGGAGTCAGCCACTGTTTTTCATGTTTTTCTTTGTTGAACTCAGTGCCAATTCTCCATGATATTGTAGAAGCGATACATCCTACTAGGAAATATGTGTACAGTAATACTCGCTGGTATTCGCTTTGATTTGTCCCCTATTTACTCAAGTAATTTGTTGCTCAATATAATAAAGTTGTGAATTTTGTGACTCACTAGGACCAATATCACAATCAGTTTTGAACGATAGCAAATCTGGATAATTCGGAAACAACCATTTTTTGAACGAGGCCATCAAATTGATTCTTATATTCACTACCGGGACTAGCTATAGGCTCGTTAGTGTTGAAATAATCAGTGGGTTGAAGAATGTGTCGTACAAAACTGTATGTTCCCAAGAAACTCCTGAATGTCATTCTTCCAAGGTGTTCAAACATTACAGCTCAAGTTTTTGATACTTGTTACCCACCGCCACGTTTATCAGTAACTCTGGAGACCAAAATGAAGTTGTGGTCCCATGAAGCAGTGGTTTAAATAGGGGTCGTTGACAGCAAATTGAAATCTACAGCGGATCAAAGTTTTGCCCCACATCAGTATTTTGTATTTGTCCACGACCTCCCTTCGAGAGGTTGAACGGACTCTTAACCAGTGCGAAATACGAATCATCAGTAAGTGGAGTCAGTGGGGGAGACCTACACATTAGTTTTTCGTTCGCCAATTTGTTTGTGGAGTCTCACCAGGATATGCTGAGACTTCTCAGGTACGGTGGCTTTGTGGGCACCTCTGCTTGCATGAGAGGCAGATCCGTAAGAATTCGGCACGTTGGGTAGCTAAGTGGGGGTCTGGCTAATTCGCAAAGGTGATGAAGTCTGAAAGTCCAAGTGGAAGATTTCGGACCCGACAGGAGTCTGGCAATGAACTTTAGGAAAGTTAGGTTATAAGTGCTCCAAAGATTGTAACTTATGTCCATATGGGTCTACAATTCATATATGTGACATATTTCAGGATATGGGAACTACATCCCAGACGAAACATAGTTATTCGTTTGGACTTGTCGGGTTTTGATCTCGACTTTTGTTAGGAACGAATGTGTGATGGTTGCACCACCATACTTTCTCTGTTAGTTTTGCCAACAACAACAACTTTTTTGTGAAGTTTTTTTGTAGGTAACATGTAAGGAGGGGAAGATGTAATGCTCCTTCCATGCCATTTCCTTTTGGTGATCTCGTACAACCCCCGTTTTCACTTTTCCTAGAAAGCCCATCCCAGTGTACGAAAACGAATGTCGCGTATATTTGAATGTTCATATTTGTGAAGACTAGATAGACCGGTACTCTGTCATTACTGCAGTATCTCTGTCCTGTACTTGACTGATGTCACATGCGGTGTGAAACTAGAAGAAGTGAGTATTTCTTCAGTTTTGAGCAATCAGCCCACTTTCCTTTCCAACGTGCACTCCTCTATGCTGCGCTGGGCTAGTGCGTAGACAACCTGCTAGAGGCCGTGGCTCAAATTGTTTGGGTAAAACAAAGGTGAAATTCAGGGGGTCCACTGTCTCACTACATGTGAGAAATTGAATGTGCGAGAGTCCAAAAACTGACTCTCTGGACGAGAGGATCCAGACATCAGCAAAAAACCGAATACAATTGACATTCTGAAAGCTTCGAACAGTTTCAGTGGGGAACTGATCTCAGTAAACTTTAACACAGTCAATTTCGCGCTCTGTTGCGAATTTCCCGACCTAATACATACAGACATATTAGAAAGGAGCGGCGTTTTTTTCTGTTAATATGCCTGAAGCTATACTGTTTATTTGTTTCATTCTGTTCACACTTCCGTTCCATTTCTATCATCTTTTCTTTTTTCGTATATCTTCGCTTTTCTGTGATATTTGCTGTTTACTATTTGGCGTGGGAGTACATTCACAAACTGAGATCGAACTCATATCATTTTTACGATATGTCGGCTCTTTTTTATAATGGCTCAACTCCTTATGTTTGTGGTCATCACTGCAGCAAATCCCCTTCTTGGGATGTCTTATGTAGTCTCCCTCTATCCATGGTCCCGAGCATATTTGGGCTGATGCAGAGCCCCTGAAGTGAGGTTTACCAAACGAGTATAGTTAAATCAGTGCTTCATCTCGTTCACATCTGAATCTTCTGCTTCTGCTTCTTCGCGTTTGGCCTGCCCCATCGCAGAATCCGCTATTCCTGTGCGTCGTGTCCGTTTCTTTCTATCTGGTGCATTTTCTACCCTAGTCCTGGTTACGGCGAGATCCTTCTTGAGCACGTCTTGCTACTTCCTCTTCAATGATCATGAATATCCACCCGATCATTAGTTCATTTCTACCAGAAGTTCAAGGGTTACGGCTAGCATACTAATTCTGCTGAGAGGGCATCACCACAGTGCTACCCACCTCCTAAGGCTCATGATCCAGTACTGTTGACTTGGTAACCTCTGCCGGGAATTCGGCATCAGAAGTTAGACACAGCAAGATAGCTGAGGCAGCCGTTTCATTGCATCTGAGGGGCTAGCCATATTACTGGGGAGAAGTGTTTGGTTCTGAAAGTTAAGTACTGCAAAATCTTCGTTCGAAGAACGTAGAGTCGCTCAGAACGTTTTTGTTCTAAACAGAATAACAACCACTCTACCCAATAGCTTTTATTACCCTCTATCTGTCGCCCGTGGGTAATAAGCTTGTATGATTCTCGGAAAAGTAATTCCCAGGTCGGATTCTGAGAGATTTGAAATCCCGCCATTGCTTGATACAGTAGTTCCCGCCCATCGATTCCGTTGACCGAACCTCTTATCGATCCGTTCTCGGACAGAAATGTAATTGTTTTTATGTTAAGGGGGCAGTGATAAAAAAATCTTTAAAATTTTCCGGTCAAGCCATGGCTGCAGTCCACTACAGAAAAAGTAGTTCATTTGTAGAAGGCCAGGGGGCCTTAAAACAATTCCTGTTTGGTTTCGACAGTACCCTTGCACAGTAGGAGCTCTACGCCATGCAATGAAGGCAGCTTAAATCAGATTTGGCTAGATGTCTCGACCCTAGTTCAAACTATCCGCCAAACATTCACTGAAATAAAGAAGATAAGGGTAAGGAAGGAGATGTGGATATAATCTTTAAGCTTTAAGGACAAGTGTGGACTGTTCTGATATTCCCTGATTTTCGGTGACCAGATGCTATTATCGGCTGTTCGCTCCCCCTTAGCCATCCCTCGTTCACACCTCTTCCCCTTTTCGCTCTCCGTTTGTACCATAGTACCATTACAAGTTAATTGTATGTCGTACATTGGGCTGGTTTGTGTTGGTAACAGAGCGACTGCGGGCTGTTCTGTCAATGATCAATCCATAGTTATCAGTGCCGATCAATATCCAGTGCCTTACCCCAGCCCTTCTCCGCTCCCTTCTCGCCTCTCCTCCAACCGGGAGACGGGCGTTAGGAACGATTTTGGGTAATCGATTCGCCGCA